GGTAATATAAAGTCACGCATAATACAATTACTACATATGAATCTCGTATGAATCCTATTATTTATCCATTAATCGTATGAATGTAAATATTTTTAAATCACATGAGGTGCGTGTAAATTACCCAATGAATTTTTCATATTTATAATCTCAAAATCACATTGGGCCAGCACTTTTACAAATGCCAGCTAAAGCCCGGCCCACAAGTAAAATTAAAATAATTTTTATCTGTATATTACAAGTCAATAATTTTTATCTCCTTGACCATGTTTGTTTATAAGATTTTTTAAAAAAAATTCCAACATTTTAACTTAACCATTTTTTTAACTCAACTTTAACTCAACACCACTATCATCAATATTATCAATATAATTAAATAATATCAAACAATCAATCATACACACCATATCAACCTTAATTTACTATTCATTCACTCACATTATTTTAACTAACTATCACTTCAAATCATTTATCCCATACTTTTACATCAAATCAATTTTAATTATTTTATTTCAAATATTATTTTAATATACCCACTAACATCTAACCATACCATCTTTTTCAAAATTAACCAAACCAAACCAAAAAAATCTAAACAAAACCAAATTTCTGTTTTTCTTCGCCTTTCTCTCCAAAGGTTTGTGTTTTCTCGTCTCGCCGCGGATTAATTGTTACTGAGGTACGCCGTTCATTTTGGTAAATACATTGTTTTGCTTGCTCATGTACTATGGGTATCTTTATTTTGCTCTCTTTTGTTATTTGCCTTCTTGATTTGTTGAACTGTGGGTTTTTTCTATTCGATTTATGTTTTGTTTAGAAAGTTTATTTTTTATTTTTTTTTTTGAAATTCCGTTTAGAAGATATGTATTTCGAAAGAATCTTTGTTATGTTTGTGTTGACGTTTTATGGGCTTTCTTGTTTGGCGACTGTATCCTTTTTCCCAAATAATTGCAATGGATGTTCATGAAATCTATGGTTGTGTGATTCATTGAGCTGTGGATTTTGTAATTTCAATTGATGTTTTGTGAAATTTTTCATGTCAACTTCTGCATTTGAAAGATAGCGTGGGAAAAATGTACCTTATTCTGTTAAATTTGTGTGATGGATTTATCCAAGAAATTATCTACTTTAGTGTTTGCCTACTGTATTCCTCTCCAGTCCTCTCCTTGAAGATTTGTGCTATCCTTTCTAGTTTCAGTTGGTAAATTGATGGGTTGATGATTTTTTATGAAGTTCACAGTTTATCTTTTCTCCCATTTGTTAAATTGACAGTGACTTTGTTTAGTTTTTCTAGTTAAGCCATGTTTCGGAATAGAATTTGGCTTCGGAGATTAACTAGGAAATCAAGAACGAGGCCCTCGAATGATCAGAAGAATTTTACGGTACAGCCAATGGAGGCCAATTCTGGTGATGGAGGCATTTCAAAGAAACGAAAAAACTGGCAATCAAGTATCGATTCAAATCCAGATATCTTTAAGAAAAGGAGAAGGGGAAATAGCAAGGCCCGTGATACAAATGTGGATCGAATTTCCGAATTGCCCGAACCAATCATCCATCATATTTTCGCACGCCTCAAATGCTTCAGAGACGTGGTCCGAACTAGCATCCTTTCAAAGAAGTGGAAAACCACTTTCGACTCATACCTCACCTTTGATTTCGACGAGAGATGGTTTCGCGTGCCAAAGGCAGTTGGAAAACACAAGAGGATCAAGGCCCGTGAGTTGCAGAAAAAGAAGTTCAAGGGTTATGTTAATCGTTCTATAGAAATGAGGCTAAAACCACTTCCTTGCATAGACAAGTTCAAGCTATATGTGAATAAAGTGGATATCCGGTTGAATGACTGCATGCGAAGTTGGGTTCATGCTGCTGTGGACAAAAACGTGAAAGAGCTCGATATTCAGGTGAATACTAACGGAAAATATTTTAGTTTGCCAAGTGTTGTGCTTCAGTCCACGTCTATAGCTTCTCTAAAGCTCTCAGGCTACTTATCTTTAGGGTCCACTTCGTTAGGCATGTCTAATTTGAGAGAGCTTTCCATAAAAGGCTCATTGCGAATAAACGAGGCCGTGATCCAGCAATTTGAGAAGTGTTGCCCTTTGATGGAGGATTTGAGGTTAGTTCACTGTAACGCCATTTATGGTATATCCTTTCTGTCTTTCGTGAAGCTGAGGAGGGTCGAGCTGCACGAGTGCGAAAAGGTTGCTTACATAGAGATTGCATCGCCAAACCTCAAAAGCTTTTGGTTTCATGCAGAGAAAAATCAGGAGTGCAAAATCAACCTTCAAAGCTTGGGGAGTTTGAAAAATTTGACATTGAAGGACAACAGAATGATGGATAATGTTCTTCAGGGTTTTCTCTCCAAAGCCACATTGCTCGAGAAATTGGTGCTTCTTAAATGTACTAAACTCAGGAGGCTCACTATTTTAAGTGACAGATTAAAGAGCTTGGCCTTGCTTCAGTGTTACAAGTTGGAAGAAGTAAATATTGATGCACCGAATTTGTCTTCTTTCCAGTACAGTGGCCACAGAGTGCCTTTCTCGTCCATCAATACTTTAGGCCTTCGTGAAGCAAAGTTTTCTTTAGGTCCCACTTTGAGGACAAATGAGCTTCTTACTGAGTATCAGAGACATTTTCGGGACTTTGATCGGTCTAAGGGTTTTAAATTGATTGTATACTCCAAGCAGGTACCATTTTTTATTCTATGGTTAAAAAATGATTCAGGTCCTGTAATTTTGGTGGAATGGCTGAACTTTTTCTCCTCCGCAGATTAATCATATAATTTTCTCTTTCCGTTTCTAGGATCTGAAGGTTTATGAAGACCCAAACGAAGCCCTTGAATATCGAAACTCTTTTTGCAATTTAGAACTCACTACTTCTCTGACAAGTGTTATGAAAATTGTTGATGACTGGTTGCGGAATTTCCATGGTAGGCGTATTGTGCTTGTATCACCCAGCAGTGAATTGATACAGGTAACGGTTGCTTAATGCAAGTACTCATTTAGTTATTTTTTCATCTTAGCCTTTTGTTGTTGACTTTTGTGAGAGAACAGCTTCACTAGGGGAGATAATATGTGTAGTAAGTGATGCTAACTTAAAATTAACACCTTTGTCTCAGATATAATTAGATCTCTGGTTTTCAAGTTTTCCCCTCTGCATAAAAAAATGGTGTACNGATTAATGTATGCATGTCTAGGCTATCTATAAGCTGTTGGCACTGTTTTCATTCAACTTCCCATTTTGTAGTTTTTATACTTACTTGTTCTGGTCAAATGAGAGAGCCCATCTCCAGGCGTGGGTTAACTCCGACGTTTTTTCGTTAGACCTCAAAAGATAAAAATGTTACGACAACAGGCTCTCAAAATTTTTCCCAGTTTATTATGTGGTGTCAGCCTTAAAATGGGTTATTTTTGTATACATTTCTCTGGGACCTGTCATAAAATGGTAAAATGGTGGTAAATATTTCTGAGATGGCCTGGAAATAAAAAATATTCTTAGACTATGTTTGGAGAAACTTAGAAAACATCTTCAGAAACAATACATCCCAACCAAAAACACTATACACTTACTTATTTTTAACAACCAACCATTATCTATCAATATTTTACTATTTTTACATCACATCAACTTTAGCCATTACTATTTTAATCTTATATCCATAACAATCTTAAAAGTGTTTCATGGTCCTTCAATTTTTCCTTTTCTTTCACTCTTCCACCTCCCTTGTTCGGCGAGACAATATTTGCTGTAAAAATCATATATCCAATCTATCTTCAGTATTTTCCTTGCCTTAGTTTCATTCATTGTGCACAGTGACAATCTTCTCTTCCTAGTGGGCTCACCATTTTCGCCCTTTATTGCAGCTAACACAGAGAATGATTATGGACAGAGAAGATAAGCCAAGCTGCTGCACATTTTATTCAAACAAATGCTGGCTACATTACGTAGAAGATGTTACGATTCAAGACCGCACCTGCATTGACAAGATGCATTATGTCTTCAAATGGAAATGTTGACGTTAAGATTCTAACTTTTTGAACAGGCACAAGGTTTATTATGACTTGCACTTGGAAATCTAGACATTGGAGTCATTAGGATGAGATTGTCACTATAGTTTTCGTCACGTTTTATGTCGTTTTTAAACTGAAATGGATTCTATGAGGTGTAACCAATTTTCTATCATGAAAGTACACTAAACAGGGGAATTATTTGACGGCAACTTTTATTTTGTGTGTTGAGCAAAACGTGAGATTTTCTATTCCATATTGTACTCCATTTTGTTTTTTAACCATATTGAATGGTTGCCTTGTGAAGATGACATCATACTGGTGGTTATTACATTTTTCAAGGCAGTTGTGATCTTTGTAACACCAAGTTGTGCTGGTCATGTTGAATGTTTTTGACATTATTTATGAACACGTGTCAAATTAATGGGTCTATCGGTAAATTAAATAAATATTAGTTGAGATATTAAATCATTTATTAGTTAAATTTAATTTTAAATAGTCAAACATTGAGTTTAAAATAAATGCATTGAAGTTGGTTCCAAATTTTAAGTGGTGAGGTAGTTAGTACATTCTAAAAAGAGAAAATCTCAAAAATATCATCAATGTTATTGAAGACATAAATTTAAACTTGTGATAATTGCAAAACTCTAACCTCGAGTTCGACCTTTATGCAAAACCCTCCTTTTACCGTTGAATATGCAAATATTCACTTAGAGTGTTAGAAGCATGTGAGCAAACCCGTGGGGGTTTGCATTGATTTAATTAATGTCCTGATCTCGAGGTGCAATTTGTAAAAGAGACAAATTTCACAGATTTATTTGTATATTGAGAAATAAGTGTTAGCTGCATTTTTTTTTTCTAGAATAAATCTGAAGCAAAGCTTTGAGCAAAAAAATTTAGACTCTTAGTTCAAAACGGACTCATAAATCCAGTGTCTGTATGCCTTGCGACCCTGCTGCAAACAAATTATGGTCGAGTCGGAAAAACTATACTCGAGGTCTCTAGTCTTAAGATGAAATAAATTGGTTCTCTTAAAATTAAAAAGAACAATTCCAGTTGAAGAATTAATTTGTAATGACACGATACTCCCGATCGAAAACGTGCATATCTCATATTTAAATCATGACACGGTGAATCTGAATTTTTATGGGATTAAATACTAGGAATACGACACAGCTTAGGGCTGTATTCAATTCGGAATTTAAGTGACATTTTAAGACTTTTCGAGATTTGAGACTTTCTACGATTTTCAGATTTTGGAAGAATTCTATGAAATCTCAAGTCCGGAGGTAAGATTTGAAGTGGGATTTCATATAAGGTTTTTTGTTTAGAAATCCCACTAAATCTTAAAAAGTTTTAATAAATCTTAGTGTCAAAAAAATTAAATACATCATGATTTTGTAAGACTTTTGAAAATCCCAATTGAATACCCCAAGATTTTTAAAAGTTTTAAAAAGTCTTAACAAATCTAAATTGAATACACCAGGATTTCTAAAGTCTTAAAAAGTCCTTAAAAATCCTAATTAAATACACCCCCTTTAGAATCGAGAATTTGGGCTTCATTTCTAATGTTTCGATGTGGTGATTAAATTTTGAGAGATGAAAATGATACGAAACAGACGAGATGGATTCGGGAAATTAATCATCTCAATCGGATGATACAACTCTCTATTAACCATGAATATATACACAAAATTAGGGCTACAGTTACCTAAAGAGAACCTAAGGCTAATATAGTAAATACACAATAACACCCCCTCAAGTTGGAGCATGCGGATTCTGAATGCCCAACTTGCCAAGAAAGAAATCAAATTCACGCTTCCCAAGCGCCTTGGTGAAGATGTCAGCGAGCTGTTCCCCAAAAGGAACATGAGTAGTAGAAATGAGACCCTGAAGTACAGCATCTCGAACGAAATGGCAATCCACCTCAATGTGCTTAGTCTGCTCGTGAAAAACTGGATTCGCCGTAATATGCAGTGCAGACTGACTGTCACAGTGTAACCGCATAGGCTGAGAGTGAGCGACACCAAGAGTAGATAATAGTCCCCGTAACCACTTCAACTCGCACAATGTAGTAGCCATCACCCGATATTCAGCCTCAGCAGAAGAGCATGCGACAGTAGGTTGTTTCTTGGTTCGCCAAGAAACAAGAGACTGACCCAGCTGAATAAACCAACCAGAAAGAGAGCGCCGAGTGAGAGGGCAAGAAGCCCAATCCGAATCACACCATGCATAGAGTTGAAGATCGCAGTCAGTACGAAGATAAATCCTTTGACCAGGAGAGCTTTTCAAATATCGAACCACACGTAGAGCAGAGTCCCAGTGAGCCTGACGCGGTTGATGCATAAATTGAGAGAGCATATTCAACGAATAAGAAAGCTCAGGTCGAGTCACTGCCAGATAAATAAGACGTCCGACTAAACGACGATATCGCTCGGAGTAACTCTTGAAGACCGCAATGGATGTGGTATCATTCCCGGAAACAATCAGATCATCAACATAAACCAGAACCTGCAGATGGACCGAACCACGATGCAGTGTAAAAAGAGAGTAATCATGATAGGACTGACAAAAACCATACTGCTTCAAAGCCGTAGTCAACTTGGCAAACCAGCAGCGGGAGGCCTGTTTTAAGCCATAGAGGGAACGACAAAGACGACAAACCTTCCCATCAACACCAGAACGAAAACTAGGAGGAAACTTCATGTAAACCTCCTCAGCCAAATCACCATAAAGAAAAGCATTATGAACATCCAACTGGTGAACTTCCCAATGCTTAGCAGCAGCCATAGCCAAGAATAACCGGACTGTAACCATTTTGACGACGGGAGCAAACGTCTCGTGATAGTCAAGACCTTCTACCTGATTATTGCCCAAAATCACCAGACGCACTTTATAGCGCTCAACGGAACCATCAGACTTATGCTTGATCTTAAAGACCCACTTGCACCCAATCGCACGCTTCTCAAATGGAAGAGAAACTACATCCCACGTGCCATTATTCTCCAAGGCACGAATCTCACCCTGCATAGCAGCTCGCCATTGAGGATCAGTCACGGCATCAACAAAAGTGCGAGGCTCAGCAGTAGAGGCGACAACTGCCAAAAAAGGTGTACCGGAGGATGGAGACGACTGGGGATAAGCAGTGGGGGGTTCATTCGAGGGCCGGACAGTGCAACCACAAAGTCCTTCAGTCGAGTGGAAGGAACTTTAGTCCGATGACCACGACCCAAGGGCTCCACTGGAAGAGTGGGAGGGGTAGTGGTAACGGAACCCCCTATCGTCAGACGTATCCATATCAGTAGCAGAAGACCCAGTATCATGAGAAACATGAGGCAAAGGGACAACTGAAAGATCCTCATCATCATTCGACGTAGAAGAAACGGGCACAACAAGAGGTAGTGGCAAAGAATCTGGCTTAGACGAGTCTGACTGGTATGGGAACTCCACATCACGAGAGGCAAAGAAAATATGACGATCCAAATCATACAAACTCCACCCCTTTTTGCCAAAAGGATGACCAACAAATAGACAACGACGACTCCGAGCAGCAAACTTGTCACCATTACGATCTTGGTTATGAGCATAACAAAGGCAACCAAAAACCCGCAAATGAGACAAAGAAGGAGCCAAACCATAAAGAATCTCATATAAGGTTTTACCATGTAAAACCGAGGAAGGAGTCCGATTTATCAGATAGACCGCAGTCAAAACACAATGACCCCAAAAAGAAAGAGGCAGATGAGCCTGAAAACGCAAAGCACGAGCTACATTGAGAATATGCTGATGTTTGCGTTCTACACGCCCATTCTGCTGAGGGGTGCCTACACAAGAAGTCTCATGCACAATCCCTTGACGACGAAAATAAGAGGCTAAACACATGAACTCACTTCCATTATCACTACGAACAACACGCACCAATTTATCAAATTGTCGCTTAATCATAGAAAAAAAATTCAGCAATGTGGAAGCAACCTCCGTCTTATCATTAAATAAATAAACTCATGTTCCACGAGAAAAATCATCCACAATAGTAAAAAAATATCGTGCACCACAAAAGGACGGAACACAATACGGACCTCACAAATCACAATGAATTAAATGAAAAGTCTCATGACTAACAATAGCACGAAAACAAGCATCACACGATCTATGCAAATTACGAGAACTAGAATCAATAACAGAAACCTGGGACAATACTTGAGCAGAGGAATGACCCAAACGTTGATGCCACACATCGACAGAAACCTTCTGAACACAAGAAACTGCTGTAGAAACTGTCCCTCGAAAGAAGTAGAGACCCCCCAACTGCTCACCTGCGTCTATCACCTTTCGCGAAGTGTGGTCTTGAATAACACAAAATTTGTTACTGAACTGAGCGGTGCAGTTAGAACGATCCAGCAATTGATATAATGATATCAAACTGCACCGAAGGCTGGGTACGTATAAAACATCATAAAGAGTGATATAAGATCCCAAATAAACAGTGCCAGCCTTGCAAGCCATAGTCAATGAACCATTAGACAATTGAACAGGACGGGCGGGAATATCCCGAACATCGGAGATAAACTCCAGGAACCCTATCATGTGATGAGTTGCACCACTGTCGTACATCCAATCAAATAAACCAAGCGTACTAGACAAAAGATTATTTTGTTTAGCTGAATTAACCAAAAACACAAAGTGAGACCATTGTTCATTGGTTTAAACCGCCAAGTGCAAGACGATCAAAATCACTCAAAGCTCCACTAGTAGTGGAAGAACTAACAAAACCGGCAACAAACGAATCACCGATACTATTGGAGAACGCCACATTCGTATGAGCTCCACCACGGGGGCCACAACTAAAACCAAACCATTTTCGATATCCAATGATCTCAAAGCAAGTAGCGGCAAGATGACCCATTCGGCCACAATGAGAACACATGGGACGACCACTAGTACGGTGCCCAACAAGTTCAGCGCTACCTTCGTCCGCACCTAACGCAACCGATGTCGAAGAATCTGCCATGAAGTCGCAACAACTATGCTTTTTTTTTTTTTGGATGAGAACTTTATGTGGAGAAAGATATCAGGATGTCCCAAACTATTTGATAAATCTCTGAAATTGGGCCCCTAAAGTGAATTATGAATTCACAGCAATTGGCGCACAAACCACGCACAAACCCAATTGTAATTCACAGAAGCCAATTGATAATTGACAAACCACAAACAAATACAATTTGGACAAACCACTATTGATAATTGGGATGGCAGCGCACAAACCACGAACAAATACAATTGGACAGCAATTGGACACAATTTGGGATAGCACCCAACACAATTGGCGCACAAACACAATTGAACAGCAAGTTTCACCGAACTGATAGTAGCGAACACAATGGACAACAATTGATTTTTTTTTTTCTCAATCGAACAAATATGGCTGAAGCCGACGTGACGAAAGCAGTTGGATTAGACCGGAACAAGGAAATTTGCGATCCGAAAAATATCAGTCTCTAATACCATGATACGAAACAGACGAGATGGATTCGGGAAATTAATCATCTCAATCGGATGATACAACTCTCTATTAACCATGAATATATACACAAAATTAGGGCTACAGTTACCTAAAGAGAACCTAAGGCTAATATAGTAAATACACAAATATACACAATAACAGAAATCATATAATTAAATGCTCAAGGATAGTCTCCCTATTCTACTATATATATGAGTGTTGGGGGTGTTTAGCTATTTTGTACTTTACTGGGGGTTTTGCTATTTTGGTCTTCTTATGTCTTTGTTCGTTGGAATTTTTGTTTTAGACACAAGTATTGAATAAAAATAATCTCCACCGTAGTTTTAAATAAAATTATAAAATATTACAAAGTCTCATATTTTTGTTTTTCAAACGGTAAACACAAAAAGAAATATAACCTTGCATTTTCACATCATAGTGTTGTGGCACAATAGATGCTCATCTGATCACTTAAGCACAAGATTCCAAGTACGATGATGGAACTCGAACCGTTATAGTGACAATATTGCTAAATGAGAAAAAAAAGGACCTTATATTTTATTATTCCTTATTGCTGCTAGTAATATGTTACCGTGCATCAATGGCTGCAATTTGTGTGCAGGCTAGCATATCTGATATATAAGTTTTGGTTTATGCAAATTTTTTTATTCTATAAATCTAAAGTGTAGGCTTACTTTGTGCTCAAATGAGAAAAGCATATATTTTTATTAATGAGAAGTGCTATCATGATGAATCTGATACCAAAGCAAAAGGCGAAAATATTATTCTTGATTATGTTTCAACTTAATTTCTCTATTACATAATTATAAATATAGAGTTTGTCCATCATTGCAGCATTCTCTGTAAATTTGTCGCCACCGGCATTGTTTGTACAGCTCCCCCTGGCCATCATGGTATGCAATTCTTCTTTTCATATCAAATCATTTGATGATACTATTTCAAGTACATGTATTCTCTTAGATTTCATAGAAGTGTTTTAGTTAAAAAAAAAAAAAAATCAACTGGTCAAATGTAATTAGAATAGAAAACATTGAACCCCCATCTCCCAAAAAGCTCAATTTTACGTGCCTGTTAAATATAACCAAAGTCCTATTTTTTCGGGTTGGGCTTAGTTGACAGCTTTAATTCGAGTACATAAGTTTCTTGAATGACCATTTTAGGAAAGCAAGAAGAAGGACCAGATAGATGAGAAAAGGGCATTAGTTGTTGGGCCATGGGGAGGTCACGGAGGGATTAACTGGGATGATGGGCCTCACAATGGGGTTCGAGAAATCAAACTAAAGTACGACCGTTGTATTGACTCGGTTTGCATCGTTTACGACAAGAATGGGAAGCCATTTTCAGGGCCCAAGCATGGAGGCGTTGGTGGCACAAAAACTGTTGAGGTAAATTAATTCACAAACTTTTCTATGCAAGATAAATGTTTTTTTTTTTTCAAAACGACAGATGTAACTATTATAAAACTCAATTGAACAAAGTTCGAATACAAGGTGATACAAATCCAACGAAAACAAAACCGAGAGACACGCAAGAAGCGGTCTAGAGCCTCAACAAGCCATCTAAATACCAAACCAACCTAAAAGCCATAAACTAAAACTGATAGAGGAAACAATGAGAGAAGACTCCTGCCACTGCCATAAAGCGTAGCAAGGAGTTCCACTCTTACACTAAAACAGCAAAAGAAAAAGGAAATAAAAAACAGAAGATGAAAAAGCAATTAAGAAACTAAGGAGAATTTCATCCAGTCTGATTGAGCCATTTTGATGAGAGTGTGTTCTGGAATTAAAGAGTGTTGGAAGATCCACAAATTCCTTGACTTCCAAAGCCACCAAAGCATGTATGTTGTGAGTTGGATTCTAGCGTCGGCCACTTCAGAATGATCAAGATAAATGTATCTTGGTGGTACCAAGATAAACGTTTCAATGAGATAGATTTTTTTTTTTAAAAAAAAAAAATATTTGTCAATGGCTACAAGGCTTGCAATTGCTATTTAACCAGGTATCTTTTATTGGGCCCACAGATCAAGCTGCAGTTTCCAGAGGAGTTCTTGACGACAGTGATGGGCCACTATTGCCCGGTGGTTCATGGTGGCAGCCCAGTTATCCGATCCATTACGTTCAAGAGCAACCGGAGAACATTTGGGCCTTATGGAGTAGAAGAAGGGACACCATTCCATTTTCCAATGGAAGGGGGGCAAATTGTGGGTTTCAAAGGCAAATGTGGATGGTACCTAGATTCCATTGGCTTTTACATAGCAAGAACAAAAGCACCTAAAGTCATGCAAAAGGTCCAGCAGAGGTTTAGAAGGCTAACTAGCTCTGTATCTCTTGCTCCTCCTCCAAGAGATGTTAAATCGAGCTAAAATCGGTGAAAATTCCTGCCTAGAAAGTCGTGTGTCGATCTACTTCTTAAGTATGGATTAAAAGGAACCAAATTCACTACATGATGCCTGCATTGATAATGAGTTGTTTACATTATCGTTTAAGTTAGTTTATTAACTTAATGTACTTTTGTATTTCATTTGTTCAGTATGATTGAAATTATGTTCGATTAGTTGGTTGGTACTCAAGATGCTCAGATTTTATTCCAGTTCAGTTGGAAATGTTGCAAGCTTTGTTAGATGTACCAAACCGTTATTATTATTATTATTATTATTATTATTATTATTATTATTATTATTATTATTATTATTATTATTATTATTATCAACTAAACCAAACAAATATGTTTCTTTTTATATTTTGGAGCTTGTTCACAACATAGGCAAACTTGAATAGAGCAAGATTTGACTAAAATTCAACTCGTTACTCATTGCTTAGGTATTTCAAGGTCTCTCCGTATGAAATGAACTAAAGATGGTGCATGAAATAATGGCAGAACGTTGACATAATGGTTGTTTCACAATAAATGTGGAATTAAACCATTAAATAGTTTAGTTTTAGCTCCTAGGTCAAAATATTATTTATTTTCAATTATACATGTACATACACAAATAAAATACTAAATTATATTTATGGATATTATATTTTAAACTTATAAGTTAAATATTGAACATACCACATTTTATAAAGTTGATCATTAGTAAAAGTAAGTAGTATTACTATTTACTTATATATGAATCACTATATAAATTGAATACATTGTATTGAACGATTTTTATTTAGAGCAACTCAGTTGTTCCTCTTGTGGGGTCATCCAGCCACATGACTCTTATGATGCATGAAGACAACAATAAAATAGGGAACACTTGTTTTTTTATCTTCTTATTTTACATAAAAAAAAAATAAATAAATAAAGAAAGGAATTATACATATTCAAGGCATCTTGCCCGTTCTTCTTCTCTCATCTAGCAACTCTTCTGGGATGCCTATAAGAGAAATAAAAATATACATAACTTATCTCTTCCCCTCTTCTAGTTGCCCTAAAAAACACCTCAATCTCCACGAAGCCAGACTTCTAATTATTTGATCGAGGAAATATTCATACAAAGATTTCATGAGGATTTACAAGGTAAGCCTTATTCAATCCAACTATGTAAAATAGTTTTCTCTATTTTCCTGAGTTCATCTTAGTTTTTTTTCTCTGCGAGAGTGAGTGTATATGCATAATCATAAATATAAGTGGTCGAATATTTTTTATTCACGTATTTTCAACAAAATATTTTGACACTGAAATCAACTTTAGAAAAATTCAATATGAGCTTTATGTCATGATCTTCGATTTTTTATTAACATTTAGTATGCTTGTCTTATAAAGGATGGAGATTAAGCAAGACCAAATGGTCATACCGCCTGTAGCTTCGCCAGTCGTGCCTACAATGGGGAAAGAATTTAAAACGGCGAAAAAAGCTCTTTATTTCTATAATGATTACACCAATGATGCAGGATTTAGCAACCAAAAATATAAATAAATAAATAAATATCGGCACATCTGTGGAAAAAAAATGTTTTGCTTGCTCTAAAGAAGGGAAGGTGTTGAGACAGAAACTAAGAAACGAATAAGATCGGAGATTCCTTGTAATTGCCCCACTCGAATGAGCGATAGAAAAAAAATGAAGTTTGGGTGGTGAAGCATTTTGTAGAGAAGCACCATCATCCGTTTGGTACTCCTAGGAAGGTTCGGTTGTTGAGATCTTATAGAAATGTCAACNAAAAACACTTGTCCAGGAGTACATGGAGGCAAATATCCCAACATGCAAACAAGTTAGATTGTTTGAAATTGACTCTGTTGGTCTCTCTATGATGGTATGTTTGTAAAATGATATTCGAAATGAAGAAGTTTTATGTAAAGATGAACTAGGTGGACACGATGCACAAACCTTGATACACCAATTTTGGAATGGAAAATGAGAAAAATAAGAAAATTTATTACATTTATAAGACAGATGAGGATGGTGTTTTCATCTAGTATTTCTGGACCTATAGTAAATCAAGAAATTTATATGCAGTATTTAGAAATCCAGTTGTCTTTGATACCACATATAAACGAATAAATATGGACTAATGTTTGCACCTTTTGTTGGTTTTAATCATCATAGGCACACCGTTGTATTTGGTTGTGCATTACTCAACGAACAAAAGAACAATTCATTTGTTTAGTTATTCTCTAAGTTCATGGAAGCAATAGCCAATCAGCTACATCTACAAATTATTATCACTGATCAGGATGTGGCTATATCAATTGTTGTGGTTGAGGTATTTCCAAACACTATGCTCTGATATTGTATTGGGCCTATTCAAAATAAATTTTCAGAAAAGCTCGGTTGTATTCTTCATAATTATGACTATCATACTTTAAGTGAGATTATTAATGACTCTGAGACTCCCAAGAAGTTTGAGTCCAGCTGGAATTCGTTGACGAGTGATTCTTAAATGCCAATGTATGGTTGTTAAAGATGTAAGATAAATTGTCATCATTGGGTTCCATCTTATGTAAAAGGTGCTTTGCAGCCAGTATGTCTAGTTGCCAATGAGTTAAGAGTAATCATGCGTTCTTCAAAAGGTACCTGGGCAAAAAATGTTCATTGAATGACTTTTTCACTCGTTTTAGTAGAGCTATTGCACATCAGTGACATGAAGAACTAATGGCGAGTCATGTTCATCCTAATGAAAAGCCTAGGATCAACACATCATTCGCTATAGAAAAGCATAATGCAGAGATCTGTACAAAGTCAATATTTTTGTTATTCCAGAAAGAGTTCGAAAAAAGTGCAACCTGTATACGTAAAATTGTATTCATAAAAAAAGTACTATATTTTAAATTAGATTATCTATTGGGCTATATCTATTCCCAACTTATTAAAAAGAAAAGAAGCAATATTGTTGGTTGTTATGCACATTATTTTTTTTAATAAATAATAAAAAAATTAAAATATGATTAAAATGAAAATAGAGTTGTTTCTATTCTCTCTATTTTGTAACTTAAATAAAGATTAAAATTTTAAAAATAAAAAATAAAATAAAAAAAGTATCAACTTTATTCAAAATTGTCGGTTGTATTTATTATTGATCTATTATTTAGAGAAATGTCATGCACTATAAAATTAATGATAAAAATATATATAACTATACATTATACATATAAGATAAATAAAAAATTATATATTAATTAAACCGGTTCGGCCATTGGTCCGACCAGTGAGCTATTGAACCAGTAATTTTACCGGTTTGATGACCGGTTGGATTTTCAGAACAACATGTTAATAAATTTTTTCGCACAACTCTAAGGTGATAGTTATTAATTTATTTTGATGTAATAAAAAGTCACACAAAACACCATTTACAAATTACATTATCATATACACAATCTCAATCTAATATAGTTGAATATAATCAAGAATGCATACACAAAATTTTGATAAAGAAAATATCATAAATGAGATTACGAGGTTTTTTGGCATCAAATGCGACTTATTCTGAATCAAATGCAAAGTTTGTAATTTTGCCTATGTGGGGTCTACAAGCAGTTCAAATATTCAACTAATTCTATTTTTGCCCATAATATTCACATTTTGTGAATCTCTCTCCTCTGGGTCTGAGGGCAGTCTCTGCTGGCCAAAAAGATGCCAAAAAAGGTTTTTCCCAATTCCAATCCCAAGTTTCTTATGCAGAAACTCCACACACATTAGAGCAGAGGCTAATTGCTTTTCCCATATTTTTCTTCACTCTATGAATCAAGAAGATAATCCGTTGTTGATGAACAAAACATTAAAAAATCCACTGTATGTTTTATGTCACCGCTAAAAAAGATGGCAACTTTACCTGCCCCAGAACTTGTGAAAAAAAAAAAAACATAATTAAGGGGGTTTGAGCATTCTTGAGAATGGGGAAATAAAAACTGAAACAAAGAACTTTTGTTTACGTTTTATATGTTTTGCAGAAATTGTTTTACCAGATCTATACCTCTCCTTCTCCCCTTGATAAACCCTGTCACCCTTGTTTTATTTTCCGTTTATTTTCCTTTTTTTTTTTATGTGTGTGTTTCCTTTTCGCTTTGTGATTCCATATCTGATTTTTGTTTTTCTTGGCTACTTCATTTCTGTTTCCTTTTAGCTTCTCGTCGCTAGGCCTTTGTCTTCATCTTTCCCCTGATTAACTCAAAGGAATGCATGGTGCTGCTCTAGGGTTTTCGGGGAGTTTTTTGTGCCTGAATAACGTGAATTTGATTATTGCTGAAACGTATCCAGCTTATTTTTTTTCTAGTTTCATTTATTTTTCTGGTTAGGTTTTGAAAGGGAAAAAGAAAACTGAGGGTTTAAAAAAACAGAATCCTTTTATTGTTTTCAGTTTTGGCTTGTGAATGGCCAGTTCTGGGAAAGGCCCTAACAAGGGCATTAATGGATCAGTGGGAAAGTTGATTTGGGTCCGCCAGCAAAACGGGTTATGGTGGCCGGGCAAGATTCTTGACCCGGATAAGCTGCCTAAGGGCTCTGTGCCTTCACCAAGATCAGGGACCCCTGTCAAGCTTCTTGGTAAAGAGGGTTCGAGTGTGTAAGTGCAAATTTCTAGTCATTTCATATTTATTTCTTCAATTGTGTTGGGTTTTTCTGCGCAGAGAATTTTTAATTTGTTTCTTCGAACATAAGGTTAGCATGTGGTTTTGATGAATGTGTTATAAGATCTGTTTCGTATGGTTACGTACCACATGAGTGTCACGTGTACGAATTGACGTCATTGTAATTAATGCACTCGTCGAATGGAACATATTATCGATTATTGGAATCTGAGTTGATTTTATATGGTTGCTTAGAGTTGCACACGTGGATAACATTACAGGTAAATGAAATCGTAAATGTTTCTCGTTTCTAATTGATCCATTTTTCTGTGGTTGGTGTTTAGTTAGTGTGACAATTGTCATTTTGGTATCTAGGTCCTTTATTATGTTTCCATTATAGTTGGAATCGTAACTTGATAGTTGCATGATCGATCTATCTTTTCCGAGGTTTTGTAAATTTCTGAGTTACTTGAAAGAGCAAGGGCTGGTGTTTGAATTCTGAAATATATATATGTTCTTACCACCATTTACCCAGTTGTCTGAATCTGGTTTTCTTAATCTCGGTTATGCATTAAAAATTAGAATATTTTTCTAGAAAACAGGCATGTTATACCATTATTGTTTACTCTCGCAGGCAAAGGTACCCACGTAGGTTCTGTATAATAGAGGACATGAATGCTTAAATTTCTTTATTTCATATTATTTGAGTGATTTAGTTTTCCTTTTTTGCCAGAACATTTCTCACTGAAAGTAGTGGTTCGTTTGGAAGTTAATTAGGTTTGTGTCACGTAACTGATTTACGCTAGTGAGGATAAGTGATTAATAAATGAATAATCAAGTTAATTAGTAATGTTTAGAACTTTCTTGTTACATCTGATCCAATCCCTGCTCATTAGCATAGGAAATTTAATGGCCAACCAAAACACTGCTTTTTTTTTTTTTNCATGATAATGTAGAAGGAATTACAAGGATGAGCAGACAATTGCTACATAAGGTGACAGCTAGTATCTGTAATGAGTAAAGCAGAATATATGTTTGTTAGGCAAGTTTTGGCTTGCATGATGACTTTGTCTTACGCCACAAAACTCACTTTTTATGGCCTTTTGTGATTGACGACACGTATTCAATCTGTGTGGTTAATATTTGGTAAAAACCATTAAAATGAAGAAGACAAACTTTATTTTGGTATGATTCGGTTGATTGGCAGTTTTGTAATTTCACTTGCTCTCCATTTGGGAAGTATCTGAGACTGGATTGATAGAATATACTTAATTTCTCTTTAATCTGTCACTTAAAAGAGGAAAAAGTTGAGCGATACTCGATAGTTATGCACTCTTTATAATGGAATGACAGTTTAAGAAGCAAATAACCATACAGAGAAACACAGGTAAATAAAGGCTTGCTGTGAAATCCGGTGCCAATCTCGGCTACGGAAAATATGAATGTTGTTTAGAGTTATGGTTAATCTTCTGGGCATACACTGTTGTGCAAAACTGCATTTTACTCATTTAATAAATTCTTGCTATATCTGTTAATTATTTATATTGGGTATTAGTTCTCTACGGAACCTTTTGATAATTGCAGTATCGTGATTGTTCTATGCCTTTTCATTCTCTTGAGCTCTTGGATATCCCAAAAATATTAATTTTTCCCCTCTGGAAAAAAGAAATTAAATTTTTAAGTTTTTAACTCCTTGCGATGCTCGTCCAGAGGCTGGTATAATCTCGAGAAATCAAAAAGGGTGAAAGCATTTCATTATGAGGACCATGATAAATGCATCGAGAAATTGAAGTCATCCAAATATGCTAAAAAAGACGAAGGTAGTCTTCACATGCTGAAGCTTGAGCTCGAACGTGCTCGTCTTGACAAAAACCACACTGACCATGAATCGCTTTCAGAATCTCATCTGAGTGAAGAAAGTGAAAATTCTGACAAGAGTTTGATTATTTTGGGAGATGATTTGGGTTCGGGCAGCATGGAGGAATCAAGAGGTTTGAATGACTTGGAAGAAAAAGTGTCGAGACGTACAAGAGGGCTCAGGGACTTGGGAACGAAAGCGCCATTGTTGCGTAAGAGAAAAATGTCCGAAATTGTTAATAATCAAGATATCTTGAAAAAGAAAAACAAGAGGCGTACTTTGACGAAAGCTTCTGTTCATGATGACAAAAAAATGTCAAGCTCAAATGGATATTCTTTGTTCGAAACCAAAGAATCAAAAGAAAAAAACTCTGCTAGCGTTGGATTTTCGTGTGATGATGCCCTGAAAAGCAAGCGGAAGGGAAATGGAATTTCTAGCAAGACTTTTGAGACCAAATCTAGCAGCTTGTTTGACGTGCCTCTCATTGCTGAAGAAAAGCACTCTGCAGGTATGATTTATGATATGTATTCATGCAAACAATTTTACTCTGTGCCTGCTCAAAATTTCAAAACGAGATCGTTATGAAAGATAACCTTGAGGTTTAGTCTAATTACAAATCGCAATCAACTCTTGTTCTAATTAGCTCATGTCTTGACTAATCGCCAAGAAGTCTAGTTATCTAATAATAAAACCCCTTGAGGTTTGTATTCTAAACAATATAAAGTGTCAAAAACTTGCAACTTTTACTAAATTGGCAAAAAAATTGAAGGGAATGTGTCCTTTCTAGAAAGATATATTTTTTTTTTTTTCTTTTTTTTCCCCCCACAGTTTATTTGGTAATTTGATTCACAGCCGGGAAAGGCGATTATCCCGAATGGCAGTCGAAAGGCAAGCGAAAGTCTAGGTCGAGGAAAACCTATCCTCTCCATGGGCTCGAAACTCGCGCGGCCCGTTTCAATCGTGCGGGCCCCAGAAGCCTTCACGACGTGCCCCTCGAGGTGAGTTCGGGCCCTGGCCGCGGCCCGAACTGCTTGCCTTACATCTCTATGGCGAGCAAGCTGACTGGATGCTCGGTCGTGGGCCACCCCCTCACGGTCGAGCTCCTTGCCAGTGGCTCTTGCGATGAATATCTAAAACGGGCTGGTGGGCCCCGCAACCGCAAGGTTCGTAGGCCCGATTCTGGAAAAAATGGGCTCCTTTTGAAGAAGACCCGTAAGCTGTCCGCGTTGTCCGGGCCCCACAGATTGGGCCGAGATGATGTGAAGAAAGGGCCCTCGGTGGCTTGCGTGCCGTTGGCTGTGGTTTTCAGCAGGATCAATGCTAGTTTGAAATAGTGTTGTGTGTTAGAATATGGTGTTTTACTGTTTTGTTTTTCGTTTCTCTCTTTTTGGATCTTTTTCTTTCTGGAAAACATGGTGTTAGAATATGGGAAAGGATTAGAATGTGTAGAGGTAGGAGTTGTTGTAGATTACATCTCTTGGAGGTAGGAAGGTTCTTGGTTGTATACAAATTGTTACTATAAATATATAGGATTGTTAGTTTAGGTTAGCCTTGATGGTGCGCTGAGCTGCTGAAAGAGTATTTGAGAGAGTTTAGATGGAGGATGGGAGTATATTGTTACAAAATGAATGTCGAAATTACCATAAGAAATTTATTGAACTGAAAATGATCTTTTCAGTTCCTACAATAGAAAATAAAAACTGAAAATTACATAGAATTTGATGGTGGGAAGAGTATAGCCGAGACAAGAATCTCTCTTTTTTGTAAGATAAATATGTACTCTTGTCCTCAAAGATACAACGATAATTATCTCGGATCTCGGAAGTTGTAGCACGCTAGACTTATGAGCTCTGATGAACTAGAACAGAGCAGAGAACTGAGCACTATGTATGATTCTAAGCTTTGACGAACTAAAACAGAGTCGAGAACTGAACACTATGTATAATGCGTGAGGCTTTTGGTAACGTGTAAGGATGCAAATGACGAGCACTATGTATGATGCGTGTGGCTTTCAGTAGAATGTTGATACAGATGTACGTTCAATGTTCGTATGTTCTGTAACTCTAATCATGTCCTATTTATAGGACTTCCAGCTTAGGCAGGAAGGACCAAAGGTCAATTGCAATTAAGGGAAGATAAAATCTAATAATGGATGTTTTAATGGGCATCAAACGACTTCACCGTTTTCAGAACCGTTTTCAGGCATTAGTTATCGCATCATCACTCCATCTGATAACTTCTGAAAAATGGTTACCATCTTATATTACAATATTTTTTTTAAAAAATTATATCATCTAACAACATTATAGTTAAATTGATATAAATATTTTTATTTTTTTATTAATATTAATAGGTAATTTAATTTTTATTATAAAGATAAATATAGTTAATTATTTCTTCTGTATGAACATATAGATTCAAATCGAAGTTCATAAAGACATGATTAATTTGATATATTATGTATAAAAAATTAGTAAGAAGTAAAAATATTATTAAGCTAGAATTTTTTCATAATTTTAAAAGAAAGATGGGGAGAAAAGAAAGATAAATTTATGCCTTATAAATTACGTCTAATAGGAAATATATCATAATTAATGTTCTTAAAAATATCATAAATATCTAATCTAATATATTTATGACTATTCCAAACATAATTATTTTTTGAATTGAGAGTAAATTAAAATCCATCCAAACTAAATTAGTTAATCACAAAACATGAAAATTTTTCACATAGGATCTCGAAGCTCGAAAATTTGTCATTTAATCTCAACATATTAAAAATTTTTATATATAAGGAGATTCTAAACTATATTATTTCTATTTCTATGTGTGTGGAAAATTGATATAATTTGTTAGTTGAAATTAGCTAAATCAATGATGAGGACATTGTTGTCATTTGAATTTCGCTAGGGTTTTAAAGTGCTCGATATAAATTTGTTATCATATATGCCAATCGTCCGTTCAGTCTGAACTCTGAAGGCCGTCGCAGCAAACCCTAGAAACCTTCATTTCGTCTGTCAGGTGACACTCGATTCATTGATATATCCTACTCACACGTTTACTGTTATTGAAAGAACCTTTTTTTTTTGGCTTTCGTAATTAAATTTAAGGTTTTGTGCGTGTTAGCAATGGCGACGGTGCCAGGGCAGCTCATATGGGAGATCGTGAGGAAGAACAATTCGTTTTTGGTGAAGCAGTTTGGTAATGGAACTGCTAGCGTCAAGTTCAGCAAGGAGCCCAACAATCTCTACAATGTGCACTCCTTCAAGTACTCAGGTTAATTTTTCTTTTCCGTTTTGATTAAATTTTTGGACCTTATAATGAACTCTATTTATTCGAGGTGTTCGGTTGAATGTGGTAATCTGCGATTAGTTGATTGGTCAGGTTTTATAGATTGCTTTTTAGGATCAGCTACATGCTAGTAGGGATTTTGTTCTCATTTTGTTAACTGCTTAATTTACCAGATTAATCTTGAATTTGTAATATAATTCCTTTTGCTTTATTAGATTAAATGTGTTCGCTTTGAGTAAAAATTAGCTGTCTGAGTTTGGATTGAGATGAAATTTACCTGATTCTTGAGTTTCCATGCAGGGGGAACTTCAAATTTTTATGAGTTTACATGTGAATATTTTCTGACTAATGGGTTATTATATCCAGGGCTGGCAAACAAGAAAACAGTGACAATTCAACCTGGCAAGGACCAATCTGTGCTTCTTGCAACAACGAAGACAAAGAAGCAGAACATGCCCGCCAATTTACTTAACAAGTCCGTCATGAAGAAGGAATTTCAGCGCATGGCCAAGGCCGTTGAGAACCAGGTATAAATTTTATCTCTGTTTATTATATTGCTCTATTTGCTTCTATTCTGGTATTGGAACTGAAGTTCATTGCTATGTGTGGGGTCAGTTTATCTAGTTGTGATTAAGTTGAAATTTCATATGTGCTGATGGAACATTCATTTCGTGCTTCTATTAAATCATCCTCATCCTTGAATTTCTGAGTTATATCGACTATAAACTTTTTTTCTTGTATATATAGTAGGCTGCCTGACCAATAAATTGTAGAATTGCTTCTTGGATTTTGAGAAGACAATGGATCATGCATCTTGGCGGTTTTATCATATTAGAAGCTCAACTTTCTCCCTCAAATCACAGATACTCCCCTATAATCGAATACGAGAACCTAATTTACAAATTGGATAAGTTGTCTGGCAATTAAGCAAAACCAACCCAGTAAGCTTCAAGGTTCCAGCCTACAATGCAATGAAAGTTTTAAAAATATCTTTTCTTTATTGGGTTATTAAACCTGAAAGCGGTTGCTTTAATATGCTCCACATTATTGTATTAACCAATTAAGGTTGTGGTTGACTTGTGCTTTGTGATGATGGCCTCTGATTTCACATATTGATTGCTTGCTATTTGTGATATGAAGGTGGCAGATAACAACTACAGGCCCGATTTGAAGAAGGCAGCCCTTGCCAGATTGAGTGCAGTCAACCGAAGCCTCAAGGTTGCCAAGTCTGGTGTCAAGAAGAGGAACAGACAGGCTTAAGGTTTTTGAAGTTGCATCTTGGATTTTTTAGTTGGTCTTTTCCAGTTCGTTACAAAGAATTCCAAATATTTTCAGCATCGTTATCCATTTCACAAAATTTCTTGTTCGTTTAAAGTTTTGTGGTATCATCTTATGTTTTGGATCCAAATAGACCCAGGTTACTCTGGGTTTTTGTTTTGCATTTTGTTAGTGTTAAAGATTGAGTTGTTTATGTAGCGATCATGTCTCAAATTTCGAATCTCTTCAGTTATCTTTTGATCTGTGGGGCAATTCGATGCCTAATTTTGATGCATTCATGATGATTCTCCAATTTATTTTTCATGTTTCAAACTAATATTTGTTAGTTATATAAAATTTGCATCTTTTTGCGTCTTTCACCACTGTTCTCTAATAGTTTTCAACCTTGAACAATAGCATGAAGTCCTTTAGTGTGTGATTGGATATAGATATGTGACTGGATATGTTGGTTTTGATTTTTGTGAAGTGGGTGAACAGTTCATTTGTCAATCATTTATTTGTGAAGTGGGTGCTCTTAGGGCATCAGTTCATTTTCTTGTCATTTAAATATAAAAAATTCTCCTTCAACCAATGTCAATCATTTTTTGATGGCAAAATAAGTGGCCCCCACATTTGTCATCTATATATATATAATTGCTAGCTAAGCAATAAATTTTACCTAATAAATAAAACCTAATAAATTTTACCTATGTGGCAAATCATTAATAAAACCTAATAAATAAAACCTAATAAATTTTATTTATGTGGCATTAATACACCTAATCTCATTAATAAGAAAATATTTCATTACATTTTTTGGGTTAATTAAGACAAAAATCATTATATGATTATATTTTATGTTAATTGATAATAATTATATTTTTTATTGAATAATATAATAGTTAATATTAAAATTAGTAAGTATATTTTATACTAAATAATATATGAAAGTTACATAAAATTATATTTTACACTAAAATCAATATTTTTTTATATGATGATATTAATAAAATAATTTTTCTTATGTCATAGTAAAATTTCTTAAAATCACATAAGCAATTGTTATAAACTTATAATAAATGTAATATTTTTCAGCTAATTAATTGGTCATGATCACTCAAAATTATAAAAAGTATATATTTATTGCATTTTATGCAATCAATATAGTGATTCGTATACAATCAAATCGTGTGTACTATTTATTTTAACTAATGATCAAATTTTAAAATATAATACTATCATATAATTTATAATTTTAATATTATATACATAAATATAACTTATAATACTATATGTTTGAAATATAATACAATTATATAACTTATAATTTTTATATTATATACATAAATATAACTTATAATATTTAATTTTATTTACATCTGTGCAAATGCACAGAGTCGAATACTAGGTCATTCTAATGAATGGCGTTAAATACAAAAATTATCAACCCAAAATAATTTAAAAATATTATGCCTCTTATAGGAAGATAAAAAATGGTGGTACTCGTGTCTATGTATTATTTATGGTGAGTTCACAACTATATATATTGTAATTTAAATGTATTGATGAATGCATGAAATTGTTTAAATGAATAAAATGATGATGTAGATATGATGCACATGAAAGTGATTTGTGATCAAATGTTAAAACAGATGTAGATGCTGGTGCTTGGATACAATTCATCCCATCACTTTTTGACCAATCACTTTTTTTAACTTAAAATTAAATTAACTTAACTAAAACTCTCTTCAATATTATCAACATAATCAAATAATATTAATCGTTTATCTTTACACATCACATCAACTTAATTTATTATATTTAATTATTCATTACTTCCAATCACTTCTCTCAATACATTTACATCAAATAAATTGTAATTATTTTATTTTAAATATTATTTTAATACAAAATCAAATCTCAAATCAAAACCTAACCAACTTTTTTAAAATTAATTTTGATTAACCAAAAAATTCAATCAAAATCAAAATAACTTAGTGATTTTCAGCAAATTTAATTTTGGACTAGATATTATAGTGTAACACAAAATTATTCTAAATGTGTGGTGGTACCTTGTTGTACATTATTTTATTATTATTAAGTTCAATAAACATTTTAAAATATCCACAATCCCTTTATCAAAGTTGTTTAAATCAGAATTAATATAATTGAAAGTTCATAATTGAATAATTAATTTAAATTATTTTAACATTTAAATTAGTATTATTTAAAATTTATTATTAATGCAAGAATGATCACTCATTTTATTATTTTTCTATATATATAAACGTCACATTCCATTCCACTGGATAACTGCACAGAGAAATCTTTTTGTTAAATCCTATTTTATATTTCTTTTTAAGATAAAAACATGAAAAAATATTTTGAAAAAGGAGAAATTAAATTACCAATGAAAAGTTGACTATTAAAAGTTAGTAATAAGCATTTAATTGTCATTTCTAAAGTCACTTATCATATATTATTTACTTTTCTTAAATTACATATCAATAGTTAGATATTTTTAAAAGTTATCGATAAAAAAAAAAAAAATAACTTGTCACAAATAACTTCTTCTTTTTTATCAGGATTTTCGAATATGATATAGTAAATTAATTATTTTTTTAATGTTCATCGATTTAAGTTCATATTACATGTATAAGAAATTATATTTTAACAATATTCAATTTGATTTATATAAAAATAAAAAATAATTGTACAAATATTTGAAAATAATATATATATATATATATATATATATATCCGAAATTGGTAAAACTGTAAAATTAGTATCAATCAATAAAATAAATTTATATATCAAATATAACTCATATAAGGTAAAAAAATTATTGGAATAACTTAATACAACGAGTTTTATTAGNATATATATATATATATATATATATTTTTGTTTATTTTGTGGTTTTGTTGTTTTTTGATGGGTTCTTGTATTGTTTTTTAGATATTTTTCATAATTATAAGTACATGAATGGTTTCCTTCTTGTTTATTTTTGGTTCCAGGATTTATTTATTTATTTTTTGGTCCATTAATTTCTCATAATCATGAGGTCATAGGTATATGAATGGTTTTTATGTTGTTTATTTGTGGTTCTAGGATTTTTTTTTTTTGTTTCCATTAATTTCTGATAATCATGAAGTTATAGGTATATGAATGGTTTTCATCTTATTTATTTGTGGTTACAGATTTATTTTTCTTGTTCCATTAAATTCTAATAATCATGAAGTTATTGGTATATGAATGGTTTCCATCTTGTTTATTCGTTGTTCCAGGATTTTTTTTTTTGTTCCGTTAATGTCTGATAATCTTGAAAAGCTGGAGTAATTTTGTTTCCATATTGATTGATATTCGTATTGTGGTATTAGAATTTTATAATTAACATAATTATGTGATAAAAAATTGTATCTCGTTCAAATGGTATTGCTGCAAATTATAATCGTATGTGCGTCTTTTAGCCACTAAAAAAATACTAATTATGTCCATATGAGTTCAATAAAAACTGTCCAACTCATAGAGACTAAACACCTAGTATTTAAATTAGCTCATATGAGCCTAATAAATAAGTTTAATATAATAAACAAATAAATCTTGATTCCGTTATTTTCTCTCGTGGGTGATGTGTTTGATATGATCTATGCGGATAAATATTCTACTTCTACCAAAAGGCAGAGGTGGAGAACTGGAGATATTATTGAAGTCGATTTATTGCTTTGAATTTGGGATAAATTTGCATATGCTGAAAATTATCTTGGAAATATCTAATGAGTTGTCCCAAACATTACAAATAAGAGACCAAGATATTGTGAATGCAATGGATTTTGGTTAGAGTTTGTACATATCGACTTCAAGAGTTGATGGATAATGGATGAAACTTATTATATGATAGAGGTATGTCATTTTTGTCATAATCATTCTATTGATGTTCCCGATATGACTGACATGTTTATTCGCTTTGATCCTCCCAGTCGTCCACTTCGTAATGCACCCAAAATAATAAATTTGCATCATTATCGAGTTGATTACATGTTGTGATGGATTTGAGTTACATGATCATTTCTCGGAGGTTATTACAGAGTGCTACTTTGTATAGCTTGTTTATCTCCACGAGATTTTTTCTGCTTTCGACAAGGGTAATTTAGTTAAAATGGCTGAATTTTATCCTCAAGACTTTTCTATATATGATGTTCTCATTCTTGATGAATAGTTGCAGAACTATATTGTTGACTTCAATAATTTGTTTAAAGAATTGAAAAGCTTGCAGAGAAGCTGGTGCAGACGAAGAAGCACAAAGTTTTTCCTTTGGTTTACAAGCTTTTAACTTTGGCATTTGTTTTACTGATTGCAACAGCTAGCATGGAATGCGCATTTTCCGCAATGAATATTATGAAGGATAGATTGAGCAAATGAGTGATGATTGGTTAAATGATAGACTACTAGTTTATGTAGAAAATAAAACCTTCTTTAAAATTGATAATGATGTTATTATAGAGTGATATCCGACCATGAAAACTCGTAAAGAACGATTATGAAGGTATGTTTTTGTATTTGCACTTTTTGTTTAAATATTTTATATTTTTTTATTAATTAATTAGGCCCTCGCTCATTGTATTTCTTAGATCCGCCCCTGCCATTTTTTAATTGTGACGTGACATTAAAGTAATAAACTAAGCTATTGATAGTTATAAATAGATGATTGTACAAATAAAAGATTTATAAAATAAATATTTAATAACAACTTATTTAAATTTGTATTATGTTATAAAAATCGAGGAGGGGATATAGAAAAATAATATGAAGTGATAGAATAATGTAACTTTTCATTATTGAATGAATAAATGAAATTGGTCTTGTTAATAGGCTGATCTAACTATTAAGTCGATATATTTTTTTACACAACGTATGCTTTTATTACAAAATATGGCATTTGATAGTACAAAATATGCATTTTTGTTTAAATAATGTGACGGGTAGACCCATTTAATGATTAGGTTGTCTCACACAATAAGTAGATGAAAATGCAAGGGTAAAAAAAAAAAACCGATTTTAGTACCCCAATTATATTTATTTTTTGTTTTGATACTCAAGGTTCCATCTTAATTGGTCAATAAAGGTTTCAAATTAATTGTTTTTGGGTCAAATGTTTAAATTTCTGTTAAGATTGTCGGTTGCCGCAGTCGACGCCTCCTGTGATGGATTGTGAACATATCATATGCCAATTTGAAGCGTTCTACTCAGTCAATGCAACGATATCTTTAATTTGATCATACGATACCTCGAAGTCCATCAAAGTTATTGTTAAAGTTTCCAAAATTTTTTAGAAAAAATGCATTTTAAAGTTTAAAAAAAGTGTTATCAACAATAACACTATAAATTTTTTATGAAAAGGATATGTATGGAGAGTCATTTTCTTGAAGAATCCAATGATATCTTTCAATTATTAATCCGGTCTTTCAACCGCGAACAATATGCAGTCAATGTTTTAAGTTTTCCTAGCCCTCGCAACTCATTGAAAAACACGGGTTATCTCCAACGATTGAGAGAATTCGACTGATGCAATGCCACCCATTGGATTCATCACCAAACCTTTTTTCTATAAATATATTTTTTCATGAAAATCAATACTGGGATTGTCAGTAGTTCTTGGTCAAACTTTAAAATGCATTTTTAAAAAATAAAATAAAATAAAATAAATTAAACTTTAACAACGGTTTTGATGAACTTGGAGGTGTCATATGATGAAAATGAAGATATTATTGGATATGTCGTGTTAAGTTTCAAAATGATATATGATTTGTTGAAATCCGCCACGAAAGATTGATTGCGACCGCAAGTCACAACCATCAATTTTAACAAATTTTTTAATATTTGGACTAAATGTAACTGATTATATTAATAAAAAAGCAAAATTGCATATAAAAGCACTACCTTTATGGCTTTTCAATTTAATCATCACCTTTTGTTGTTTTTATTTACATCATCATATTTCATATATTTTACATATCGAAACATAAATTTAACTTCCGTTAGGTATGTGCCAAGTCAGCCGCGTAGACTTTCCATTCATGCCAAGTCAACTCTAATCTGATGGAAGTTAACTTTATGCTTTATCTGCAAAACATATGAAATGTGGTGTTTTAAATTTTAAATGCAAATAACAAATGTGGTGATTAAATTATAAAAACCTTAAAGGTGGTGCCTTTATATACAATTTTGTCTAATAAAAACTAAATAAGTTGGAACTTGGAACATGTGGTACCAAAACCAAAAACTAGGTAATATTTCCCAAAATAAATGAAGAGGGAGAGAGAGAGAGATCATGTTAATATTGGACACGCCAAAGAGAAAAAGCTTTGATGTATAAAAAATAACTGTTTCATTAACTGAAGTTAAAATTAAAATTGTTAAAAAAAAAATCCCTATTTCTCCCACTCTACATATACAACAATGTATTTACACATCTGAAAGAAGAATGAAGAAAGAAAGAGAGAGAATCTGAATCCTCCCTTCCGATTGCACTCATCGTCGTTGTCTGTATACACACAACGACACTGAAAAATGGTTGAATCTAAATCCAATCCTCCGCGATCTTCTTCGGCTCCTTACCTCGAAATCTCTTTTTACGCTTTTACTCTCCTATGAAGTGAATCAGAAGGAACTGCGAGATATTCTCCATTTGATTTCCAATTGTTGTGTTTTTTGTTCTGTACTTTGATTTGTTGCTGATTGTCGGAAAGAATGGGAAGTAGTGATGGTGGAGAGGTGGCATCAGCTGCGGCAGGTTCACCTAGCCCGCTGGAATGGAAATTCTCTCAGGTGTTCGGAGAGCGTGCGGCTGGCAAGGAAGTGCAGGAAGGTAATAAAGAATAGTTAGTGCTTTGATAAATGGGATATGGATTGACTTGCTTTTGAATTGGGATCTTGTGGTAAGGGTTTTTGTTTGTGTATATTTGATTCTTGCTTTGGAGTTGAGTTACTTGATTTAATAGAAGTTAATGGAGATTGGTTTGTGTTTTTGAGTGGATGATTTTGGTGTTAGTATTGTAATATATGAATTTGGGGGGATGGTAAACTAATTTGTTTTCGAACAAATAATTTAGCTTGAGTTCTGGATTTTCCTGTTTCATGCACTTGATATTTTTAGAAAGAATGTGTAGTGCTCTTGGTTTTGATCTTGTGATTGTAGCTAATGTATTGTCTAATGCACTTTATCCTTGTATTGATGAAGATCTAATCTGACTTTTATAATGCAAGCATAAAGTTTTATGTTGTGGTCAAGTGAGAGAAGGCTTTCTTTTTGCATGCCACATTTATGATATAATTGGAAGTATACTTATTGCTCCACATGGTGCCAGTTTTTGCAAACTTCTTGGGCTTGATTTTCCTTATTCCACTAACTGTAATTGTGGTTTATGGTAGTAGTCATCTGCAAATGTCCTTTATACCTCAGGGTTGTAGAATGCGATACATGTCAGAAGACATATCTGGCTTCCAAATAACGGCAGTATTTACTAGGTTGAAATGATTTAGAACTTCACAAGGGTTTGGTCAAAATGATTTAGAACTCTTGGCATGATCTGAAGTGCCTATAAAATGTCGTTACAAGTTGGAAGTAAAGACAAAGCGTCAAGCATTAAGTTGGGTCTTCATTTTTGTTAATAATTGCAATTGTTGTCTGTTGTCATGTAATATCTATATCGGCTGTATCTTCCTGAGTGGAATTTTGCATTGACTTTTGTTGTCTTGGGTTACAACTTGAAGTGAAAACCTTTGCAGGTATGAATTAAGTTATGTGAAAGCAAAGATGGGTTAGGAAATATCCATGGTCCGGAATGACAAAATCCTAGTTTCCAGCATAATTATTTTAACCAGGGTAGATGAATTTGCATGTGTAAGGACCCTGATTATGTTGTATTTGGAAAATTCTATACCTGCATCCTGGTTCTTGGTCGATGTCAAAATTTAATTGCATTATTTTCGGATGAATTGAGTAAAACCTTATCCGTGAAGATTTGATTTTCTGCTTTTTAATGGGCCTGTTTGTACCTTTTGGTTTTTAATGTTAGGTCTTGTAAGAGATAATCCTGCAGTTTCCTTGTTAGTAAAGTGCAACTTTCTTGCATTTTCATTACTTTCATTGCATTTTCATTGCAGCTGCATAGCACTTTCATGGCAGCCACTTTAGTTTGATTTTTCAACTTATGTATTTTCTAGGAAAGTCACTAGGATAGTTGTTTTTAGTTCTTATAAATAGGGGTGCCGTTTTTATTTGTAAACACACAACAAAAACTGAATACTCACTACATTGAGTTGTTCAACATCTTCTTCTTCTATCCTAAAAGTGTCAATTTGTGCCGGGAAGCATTTTTGCTTACCCGAACAGTGCATCCTAGCTGCAAATAGAGACGAGCAGGGACTAACAAGTGGCATCAGAGCCATGGCAAGCCAAGATGCTGCGTCGACGGTGCAAGGGAGCGGTGCACACACTTCACCGCGCCAGGAGGTCATCATCCACAGGATCGTACGGGACGTTGGCGGAGCCAACTGGCCGGTCCTCACACGCACAAACTATGGCGAGTGGGCGGTGCTGATGAAGGTCAAGTTGCGTGCGTGCAAGCTTTGGCGGGCCATCGAAGAAGGCACCGAGGATGAAGAAGAGGACTGCGCAGCGATGGAAGCGATTCTGTCCGCTGTTCCTCACGAGTACGTGGAGTCGCTGGGCACAAAGGACTCCGCAAAGGCTGCTTGGGACGCCCTCAAGGCCATGCGCATCGGGTCTGATCGCGCAAAGAAAGCGAAGGCGCAGCAGCTGCGGCGGGAGTATGAGGCGCTGGCGTTCCGCGACGGCAAGGCAGTGGAGGATTTCTCGCTCCGTCTACAGTCGCTCGTCAGTCAGTTGGCGGCGCACGGCGTCACCATCACCAACGAGGAGGCGGTCGCGAAATACTTGCGTGTCGTGCCGCCTAAGTACTCCCAGATCGCGCTCTCCATCGAGACGTTAATCGACATGTCCACTCTCACGATTGAGGATGTGACTGGGCGCTTGCGGGCGGTGGATGATCGTGGGGAGATGGCGACGATAACTACCAGCGGCAAGTTACTGCTGACCGAGGAAGAATGGGCGGCTCGTATGCGCGAGCGGCGGCCCGGGGAAGGCTCCTCCAGCCGTGGCGGCTACGGCAAGCGTCGTGGTAAGGCCCCGTAGAAGAAGAAGAAGGACGGCGGCAACGCGCGTCCGATCGACAAGGACACTTGTCGACATTGTGGGAAGACATGGCACTGGGCCCGGGATTGCAAGAATCCCAAGAAGGAGAAGAGGGAGGCGCACCTCGCGCAGGTGGATGACGAGGAGCCAGCTCTTCTCATGGCAACAACCTGTAAGTTGCACGACGTCGAGCCAGAGTTGGAGGAAGTCAAGGCGACGGCTACAGAGCAGAGGAAGTCACTGCAGGCCGTTCACCTCAACGAGTCAAGTGCCCAAGTCCACCTTGGACGAATGGGCGGTGGCATAGAGCAGAGGTGGTACCTAGACTCCGGCGCCAGCAACCACATGACCGGCACCAAGGAGGCCTTCTCCGAGCTTGATGACGACGTGACGGGGACGGTAAAGTTCGGCGACGACTCGAAGGTGGAGATTCGAGGTCGCGACACCGTCATCTTCCGGTGCCAGAACGACGAGCACCGTGCATTGACGGGTGTGTACTATATCCCGCAGTTGCGTTCAAGCATCGTCAGTGTGTTTGGCGGTACGACACGCCGGAAGATGACGGTGTCGCGGACGAGCACGGCTGCGAGGTGCTTGTCAAAGACGGAGTGCTAAAGCTTCACGACCGAGAACAGCGGCTGCTGGCCATGGTCCAACGTTCCCAAAACCGCCTCTACCTCCTCGACTTGAAGGTGGAGCAACCAGTGTGTTTGGCGGTACGACACGCCGAGGAGCCATGGCTATGGCATGCTCGGTTCGGCCATTTGAACTTCGACGCACTCGGCCGGTTGAGGAAGAGTGAAGCCAGTCACACATCTATGGCATGCTGGTCGAAAGATGGTTCGGCCATTTGAACTTCACAATTTTATGTTCGTTTCTTTACTCAGAAACTATACCGATCGTGTGTTACAGGTGCAGAAAGCCCTGGAGTCGAAACTAACAAGCTGCTCCACTTGGCATGGCACCCATCAGAAAACTTGATTGGCTGTGCTGCAGCAAACAGTTTGTACATGTACTATGCATGAAAAAGGAAAAGCCGGGTAAACATAAAAAGAATGGTTTGAGGCAGTTACCAACTTCTCGCATCCGACTGCTTCATATAGAGTTTCAGCAATTTCTGTTGAAGATTAATTCACTACGGAGCCAAACCCATCTTTTGGCTTTCCTCTGCTTTATCTGGCCATATTTATAACTATTTTTTTGGTTAAAGGGATGATAAATATGAAGTTCTGTCCCTTTTTGTCGGGTAGAAATGTGATCATACCTCTCCTACATCAAAGGAAACTAGAAGGATGTAGTAAATTGCCCCTAGATTTTTTTTATTTATTATTATTTATTTATTTTTTTTTTTGGCTGAGGTAAAATGTAGCTTGTATTAAGGTAAAAGTATTTCTGCTGGGAAATGAGCCGTTGCAAACTTGCAGGCCATTATTTAAGTTTTATTAACTTATATCGGCTAGCACACTATACTTTGATCTGTTGTAGATTGGTTTTTTGCCCTTTTAGCCTTTTTTTCCTTTGGCTATAGATTCTTAATTTCATTATTCTATTGTAAAACATTATCATCTTTTGGTTTCAATTAGCTTGTATAAATCTTAGATGTTTATGTGTTGGTGATAGATCATTGAAGGCTGAGTTGGAGTCTGAGTAATGACTTTCCTTTTCAGTCTAGTCTATAATTGGTGTTGTGTACTATTACTATTCTGTTACTATTGTTATGGCATCCGGATGTACAATGTCAATCTTGGTGTGGATGTAAGGAGTGCTGTATGAGTAGAGCTGTCAATTTGGCCCGCCCCGCCTCGCCCCGCCCCGCCCCGCCCCGTCAAAGGGGTGGTTTGGGCCGGGATTTTCTAGGCCCGCTAGGGAGCGGGCCTAAACGGGCCAGCCCGCACGGTTTTTTTTTTAGAGGAAATTATACCCCCCACTAATATATTTTATTTTAATATCACTTTTGAACCCCTTATAGTTTTATTTGTAAAATTACCTAAATGACAAACAAAATTTTCAATTGTACCTAAAAGACTACAAGAACCGTTATCAAAACTTTTAAATGCTAATGAGAGATTTTAGGGGAATTAAAGATACACTTACCAAAAAAAAGGGAACAAATAAGATAATTACCAAAGCACGTCTCTTACCTTTTTCTTTTCCCAATCTCCTCGGCTCTGCAACAATACCTGCTCAAGATTCAATGGACAAAACTAAAATCCCTCGGCCTCATCGAAAAAATCCGACAGATGATGCAGACGACACACCAAATCGAGGGGCGGATCGAGGGGCAAGATCCCGCAGCGGTACGACGGGAGGCGGTCGCCGCCAGAGGCGTTTTTCGCCGGCGGGGGACAACTGCCTGGAGCGGTGTCCGGCGAGGTTTGGGCTCTGCCTAAAATCGCAGAAGCCGATGGCGATTTGCCGACAGGCGTACGGTGGGAAGCCTTTCTTCATGAATTGTTTTATATTGATCCGATTTAAAGGGCTCCCATGTGAATATACTGTCTGTAATTATCTGATGTACAGAATCATGAAACTGCTTGAAGTTTCACATTAATGTGCTTTCATCTGTGACTAATGGAGCCAAGTCCCTTGCTATTTTGGTTTATAGAAGATATGTAACGTTATATTTACGAGGGAGGGGATGAAATTCAGTTTTTCATTCGTCTATGTGCTGTTTCGTTGTGAAGATCGATTCGATTTTTCGTGTAGAGGAAAGAAAATAATGCAATAAAAAATGCCTGCTACAGGTGAAAGGAATGATTTTGATTTTGTCAATATTATTTTATTTTAATTTTTTTTTACTAGTCGCAGGAGTAAGAAATTGGCGATTAAATTTTCTTTGATCGTGGAAAATTCTCAACATTTTGATTATGATGTGATTAGTTGATTAGTCTCACGTTTTTTAAACTGGTTTATTTTTTTGGACGGTTTATGCTTTTGGATGTTGAATGGATGTTGTTGATTAGTTGAGTAGTCTCACGTTCCAAGTGGAGTACGCNTTGTTTTTGTATATGTATGGTTTATACTCAGTATATTTTCTGTACAAATTAGTTTATGTTTGGTATATTAGTTATGTACAAATTAGTTTATGTTTGGTATATTAAAAGATTTTTTTGTTGAAAACAACACATATATCATTAATGAAAAAACTATCAATTCACGTACGTTTCAATTAACGTTAAACTTACAAAAAAAAAAAGAAGACAAAATTCTCATGAAAGACATGTTTTTCATTGCAACATATACCGAATATATACTAACATAAACGCAACATATACCGATCTGGACAGCCGCGTGAATTAGAAAACATAATTTTTTTATGAAAGACATGTTTTTCATTGCAACATATACTAATATATACTAACATATACTATATGTAGCGGGTATATACAGTATTTTTTCATTATATGTTTCAAGTATGAAAATTTATATGTTTCGGGTATATGTTACGACTGTATACAGTATATATCAAAGTTATACAACACACATATACATAAAATATATATAAAATATACACTCGAGATTCTAGCAATTCAAGCCAATCGGGACACATATATACATAAAATATACGTTAAACAACACTCGAGTTTCAATCGTTCCTCAAAATCGATTTTAGAACCCATATATACATAAAATATACTTAAGATATACACTTGGTCGGAGAGGACTATCACGGCGGAGGGAAAGCGGGCCGCAGAGGCTGAGGACGACAGCTCGTGGGGTCTGCTCGCGGTGGTCCTAATCGCCGAAGGAAGAGGCTGGTCGCGGCGTCTGGTCGTGATAGGGTTCGCCGGAAGCCGCAATTCACGCGTGAACAAGGGTCGCCGGAATTCTTCGCAAGATGGAGGCGGCGCTGGGCAGCGACTCACGGCGTGGGAGGAGAGCGGGTCGTGGCGTTGCTGGGGTCTCGTCGCAGAGGGCTCGCGACTGGTTCTGATCAAAATTCGCAGGTCCACGCGGAGGATACTCGCTGGCGGGAGGCTCGCGGCGTCAGATTTGCAGAGAACTCGCAGCTTGCTGCTCGCGAACAGAGATGAGTTCACGGCGGAGGACTTGCGAGCAAATGACGGTCGGGGGTATTGCGCGGCGGAGGGGCTCGCCGGCGATTGGTCTACGCGTCGTTCAGAGGATGGCGGAGGAGGAGATGACGAGATGATGGTATTTTCTGTTTCTTTTTTTTCGGTTTCAATCGCGTGATTCACACTATAAGTTATGGAAGGGAGTATGTTATGTTGGGTAACTTACTTTTAGGCATTCACGTAAATATTGTTGGTCTATCAAGTATCTTTCAAATTATTTATTTGTTAATGATAAATTTGTAATTACGTTGATTTCACGTAGGATGGTTGAAAATTTCCCTTTTTTTTATATTCTTACAATTCTACATGTATAATGTCTTGCTTCCTTATAATTCTTGATAGCAGGTTTTCTATATATATATATAGAGAGAGAGAGAATTAGGCCATTTTAGTTTAAAAAAAAAAGAAAAAAAAATAGCGGGCTGGCCCGCCAAAGCCCGCGGCCTGTGGGGGCGGGTTGGGCCGACATTTCATAGGCCCGCTCCGCCCCGCCAAAAGGCGGGCTTCGGCGGGCTGCGGGCCGGCCCGCCCCGTCGGCCCGTTTTGACAGCTCTATTTATGACTCGAGGGTTTTGATGTTTTGATTGCAATATTAATAATTTATGAGGTTGCATATGAAATTCTAAGATACTTTTAAATTGAGAAGAGTACAGCTAAAAATATGTTTTCCACTATTAAGAGTAGCAATGATTTTGTAAAAAATTGCATGGACTATAATATCTTTATATTTAATATATTTTTAACGGCAATAATGTAAGTACAATTAAGTATTCTATTAATAAAGGTCTTTAAGAATAATTTTAATAATTCAAAATTCTAATTCAATAGTGCACGGTAAAAAATGTTTTTATACTTGATACATTTTTAAAGGAAAAAGTGTAAATATAATGAAGTATCATAATGATAAAGGACTTTAAAGATAATTTTAATAATTAAATATTATAATTCAATAGTATTAGAGAAATTAATTCACGTTTTTTTTTTCTAGCTAAAGAGCAATTATGCACGTTTTGCTTAAAAGAACTAGTACAGAGCCCGTGCGATGCACTGGGTGCACAATTTTAAGTCTATTTATCCAGACTTATAATTATATATATGAATAAAGAAAAATGTATGTGATATATATAGTACGTGACCCGTGCGAAGCACATGATATATTTATTTGGAGAATATTATATTATAAGATACAATATTCAATAAAAGTTTATAATACGCAAGAAAATTGTACAATGTTCAATAAAAATTTTATAATATTCAAGTGGAGTCTTAAAGTCTCTTGTACATTAAGACTAAAGACAAAATAACATTTTAATCAATAAGTTTCCTTTCCTCGTAGCCAAATTGTGAATGTGATTTGAGGAGTACAACAAATCGATATATAGTTGACTTGCTTCATTGTAGTTTTTTTTTCTTTTTTTTTGTATAATGAATTTAAAGATATTCTAAAATATAGCAAAAATTAATTTTTTATATTACAAATAAGAATTTTACTAAATATAAACTCTCGATCTATGGTGTTAATCAACGTTTAAGTCTAAAAAATTAGGAATTTTTACCTCTTTTAATCAACTACATCTTTTAAAACATTAAATATGAGCATGTTAGGGCTAGCTTGTAAAATAATTAATATATTATCTCAGTAAAATATTTATACTAATAAAAATTTAATTTTAGCATATAAATTTATCCCTTGATATAAGAGAAAGTAACAGTTTTACTTATTGTTGTTCACCATATAATATTTAATTATTATTTTATTATATAATAAAAAAGAAATATTGTTAAATAGTGTAGTAGAATTGTTATAAAATTATATGATTTTTTTTTTACAATATGGATTTAATATTTTTTTATGATTTGATAATATAAACAAATCTATACTTAACTTTGACAAATAAAACAAATAAATACTTTAGTAAGTATTTAATGTATATAATAAATAGGAATATATTTGGTATAATCAAATATCAAATATAATCAAATAATTCAAAGTGTACATTTTTATTTGGTATTTGATTTTTTTATTATTAAAATATTTTTATAATACTTACCTTTTTAAAATAAAATAAATAAATAAATCAATTAAATAAATAAAATATTATAATAACAAAATAGTAATAGCATTTAATGCAGTTGACTTTTCTGGATAGTAAATATAGTAAATAGAATCTCTTTTTATATAAATATAGATTGTATAATACGAAAATAGTAATGCAATAAATGTTGTTGACTTTTCTGGCTTCTTAATTTGGTAAATAAAACTCCCTTTAATATAAGTATAGATGAAGAATAATTTGAATATAATTATTTATGCTGGTTTTACACAAGAAAAAAAAAAGGTGAAATAATTAATTAGAAAATTCTTTGAATCAAAATATTGCAGAAGAATTAGCATTTGCAATGTAATAACCAAAACTTACTCTCATGTTTAATAACTAATTAGTACTACTAAGTACATAATTATAATTTAACAAATAACCATAAATATAATATTGTAGCGAAACTCTTAATATATACAGAATATGTTAAAATACTATAAATTCCCAAAAAAATGCATTTATAACAAAAAATACATGTCTGTCATTTTTTTTTAATTGTTTTTTTGCATTTAAAATTATATTAAAATTATAATATAAATTCCCTCAAATATGCACTTAAAACAAAAAATATGTTACAGTTGTACCTTTTGCCTTCTCATTTTTTTTAAGAATATTATTCACATATGAAAAAAAAAAACTAATACCCTTTTTAATTATTTTTTCCATTAATATTAAATTAGTCACTTTTCAACAATGTCTGACCGAGCACCCGTATTGCATGTATAAGTTAAACTAATATAGTTATTTCTATTATTAAGTATTATACAATTATCTATAAATAGTATAAAAACAGTAAATGAACCGTGCTAACTATCGGAGAGGATGAAGAAGATGAGGGATCCGATTTTACTGTTGGTACTAGTGGAACTGTCATAAATGAAGAGGAGTACGATACATACGACTATGAGGAGTAGACAGTCAGTTCAATCCTATCATCTACTTTTATCAAAGTAAGTATAATAAGAGAGCTATGAGGACTTTGATTCCTGAGGTAAGGGACACCTAGGCAACTGAATTAATATATTACAAGTTCAAATATCATTTTGTATCCCAAAACATTCTTCAACTAAATTGATATTTTAACTTATAATATGTAAACTAAGCCCAAGTCGAATTTTTTTAACCTCCCCCCCAGCCCCATCGTCACTTTATTTTTTAATAAAAATTGTCCCGCCCGGACCGAAACCAAAACTGGTTGAAACAACTTGGAACTGACCGAATCGAGCACAACTGGCTCTGACCCGCTGGATCAGTGAACTGGCCTAGAACTGTCAGTTCGGCAAACCGGCCCGTACCTACATCCGGACCGGTTCTTGGTTCGTGTTTTCAAGCTCGGCGACCCGCTAGGCCGCCGTGGGTTGTGACGCGGCCTACCTTTTGGCCAGTACCAATGGGCAGTTTGGGTAGCTCATCCGGGCAGTCTTGGGCAACAAGGTAGTACTTCCCTATATAAGGGAAAGATATGCCCATAACAACATTACATTCTCTACACTATTGTTCATCATCTTCATCGTTCATACACATTCTGACTTAAGCATCGGAGGCTTTACGCTGGATAATCCCTCCGGGGTTTAGTTTGTGCAGTTATTGAAGGTCATCAAAAAGAATGGAGCTGGGTTCTAAGAGTTAAGTATCAGTTATGACGAGTAAACAAACCCAGCTCGACACTTGCAGTCATTTGAAAACATGGCAGTGTTGCACGGGTACTCGAACGTAGTGAGCTGTCGAGCATTTCTGGCAACCTTACAGGGTGGAGCACAAGACTAGTTCCACTAAATTGCCTCGGGGTCGATCAGGGACTTCGAGGAGTTGAAGCATAGTTTTTAAACCCAGCCAAGGAATCAACCCGGGCAGATCTTTAGGTCACCGGTTCAACCGTCGGGTCACCGAGTCAATTGCTAAATCGGATAATTAATTATAATTTTTTAAAATTATATATATAGTATTTTTTACATATAAATATACATAAAAGTAACAAAATTTAAATGTTTTGTATATAAAATTTGTACATCAAAGTGTTAATAATATTGTATCTAATAATAAATATTTACTATATAAATATAAATACATAGTTTTTATTTTTTAAATATAAAAATATTTCAAAAAATATATAGGGACTGGGTCAACTGGGTTGACCTGGCCGGGTCAAAGCCGGGTTGTCTGGGTTGTGACCTGGTCCATTGTTACCCAGTCTGAATAGCCCACCCGGACCGGTTCCGACTCCAGGTCGACCGGGCCCCGAGTTGACCCGTCGGGTCGGTCCGAGTTGAAAAACTATGATTAAAGTCATGTTTCTCAAATAATTTGCTAGTGCAAAGTTGCACGAGAAATCTTACGTTACTTTGATGGCCATGCAACAAGAATCATGAGAGACGTTGAAGAGTTTTTTGGGTAGTGGTTCTCTTCCTATGGGAACTTGTGATGTCCAGCCTCCTCCATGTCTTTTCTTAGATTCTTTCGTGAGTTTTTTTCAGCCATGACCTCGAAACTTATGACAACTTTGTGAGAAAAAAGCCAAGCCCTTTGTTGGCAATAAAAAACTAGATGTGTCCCACAAACAACGCTAATTTGATATGCAGATTGCTTCATGACCGGGTTTAGACCGGCACCACCACGAACAGTCCTTTGCCTTGAGCTCCAATGACTAGCAAAAGACATTGGGGAGGGCTCCCAGCGGAAAACCTCTAACGCTCTAGTCAGATCTTTCTCTTGAACATACTAAAAAATGTATGCTGAAGCGTAATAATGTGTTATCTAAAATAGAACATGGTAACCCTCTTCTATATCCGTGTTCTCTTTATTAAGAAAGTGATTAAACCATATCTCATTTCATAGCTTAACACGTCTGAGGTCTTAGAC